GAAGCAGGAACTTCGTGCCACATCATAAAGTTGCTGATACCTGCTGCCTCACCTGGAGTATCTCCTGGTATGTAACACTTCATATACTCTGTTTTTCCAGAAGGACTTTCTCTATGTCACACAACTGGTCATGATCCTGGAACGATCTCTTTTTCTACATTCTGCCTTCAAAAGACAAGGTCAAGTTTTATTTGGGTGCATACTGTATGCAAGAAAATACAGTAATATTTACTTTGGCTTCTCTCAGAAATCCAGTGAGCTCAGCTTCCTTTAGGGTATATGGGTATGGGAATGCACAGTGCTGTTGTGGATTTAATCAGTAACGGACTCCAGAAACAGAGTGCTCTACATTTGCTGCTGAGTCCTGAAAAATAACAAGTGTCCCTGGCAAGGAAACACAGCAGGAATTTCATCTGCAGACTATTCAGAAAGCAGGGAAATCAGCTCTGCAAGCCAAGCTGTAGCCAAAGAGATAAGAAAAGCTGCTTGTAAGCAACCAACTTCACTGCATCTTAGAGGCTTCAGTTTGATTAGGGACTGTATGAGCTGGGAAGTTTGACACAGCTCTAATCTCTTTTCTTGCATCAGTCACACTGCTGGAATTTACACATGGCAGGTTAAGGCTTAATTCTCTGAATGGCAGGTGTGATTTTATAAATAGTTATGGAGTGATTGTTCATGTCTACAATTTTATTTATTATACAGGGATTGAATAAAGCTTTACAGTAATGAATAATTTTATAGAAACAATTTTGCATGATTCAGTACCTGCAACCTCTTATTTTCTTGTTAAAGAATCACTGAAATTGGATTTTAAGACAAAAGTTCAGATTTAGAAAAATGGTTTAGAAAATGTGTTGGACAACTCCCAGACCTATCTGGTGTCCATAGAGGCTTCATGTATTGGATATGTTTGGTCAGACAGGAACCCACTACTGCACCTAATGCATATTGGATAAAGTGGTAGAACTTGGTGCTTTTCAATTGGTGATATCAAGATTCTAGTTCTAGCTTCCTAAGGGTGTATGTGTGATTCAGGTATTGATAGCCTTTTTGCAGCACATGGATTCATAATAAAATATGGGCAAAGATGGGAAAAATACATGCCTATTATAATTCTACAGGATAAAATTATAGGCACAAATTTGGACTATTCATTTTAAACCTTACCAAAGTTTGTAATATGTTGTAATTCTTTATTTGCATATTGTTCTGGTGGTTGAAGTACACAACTCCAGTTGCAGTCTGTTGTCACCGCATCAGAGAATCAGCCATTAATCCTTAATGATCTTACCTTTTTGGGTTGCTTTTAGCCCAGCAGGTACCCTAATTTCTGTAACAGCATTTCCTCTTTAGCCAAATAAATGATAAATGTATTAGCTAATACCTCAATATGTTTTTGGGTGTCTCAGGCCTTGCTTTTCTCTATGGAGTGCCAGCTATAAACTTGCTCTCAATGCTTGAAGTTATCATACCAGGGCATATTTGCATCTCAATTATATTTAAAGTGAGTCTTAGATCCCTTCAGAAATCATGCTTCCTGGATCATTGAAGCAAGTGCAAGACACAAAGCAAAATAATTTGCGGTAGTCTTTACGGTGTCAAATATAATTTCACTGGAAATCAGCCCTCCTGACGTCCTGTTGTTATGAAGAGCTTTACTCTCCCCTCTTAGAAAATGACAGACAGCTGTTTCCCAAGCGTGATTATTCAGAATCCTCAAGAATGGATGAGGAGACAGCCTCACAAGCCACAGAATTTCATCCTTGAATATTTCTTCACCTTAATTCCTTACCAATGTTTTTAGCTAAATATCTTCTGTAAAAACAAATTAAAAAAAACCCAAAAAGACTGTGTTTCAGCAATATCCTCCGGTGTAACTCAGAGGTTCCCTGAGCTGCCATATTGAAAAGTTAGCTTCAATGAATATCCACAGGACAACAGCTAAAAAAAGTGTGTATGCATGCATGTATGTTTGTATTTGTATACGTGCGCCCATGTTTGAAGGGCGGGCAAGATTGAAGGCATTCCTTCCCCCAAAAAACTTTCTTGAACAACACTATATGTAAAATAATGAATTTATGCCCTTTATGAATAATTATTAAAAATAATGGCTTGTAATTATAAATCTCTTTCAAGGATCTCACAGCATTTTACACAAGTAGCAAAAAATATAGGCTCTGTTTTACATACATGGAAAATGAGGCATGAAAAGTCAATTGATTTGCCAACTGTCTCATTGAATCAATGGCAGAAAAGTCAATAGAGCTCATGTCTCCTGATGGACAACTGCAAGAGCATTCTGCTCCATGTTCCTCAGTGTCAGAAGTGCTCTGGGGATCAGAACTCAGCTCAGCTCTCCAAATGACTACTGTATGTCTTTGTTGTGGCAGCAGAAAACACAATCACATGAGGAAACAGCCCACTCACTCACTCCCACTCAGCCTCTGTCAACCCTGGAAATGAGGTGGTGAGGTCACCCTCCCAGATGGCCCTAGTAACATGCTCAATACCTAGGTTTCTGAGTGCAAGAGCAGTGACAGGAGACACCTCCAGAGTGTCCTCACCTCATCATTTTCTGGCACTTGCAGAGGAGAAGGGAATGGGCAGGGTTTGTTTTCTGAGCAGAATGATTGAGTACTCTGCTGCCACAGTACTCTTAGACTTTGGGACATATCCCTTGAGATTCGTTTCTGACCCCTTCCACTCTGACCTCAGTGGAAGTTGAGGGTGAGATGTGATGACATATGAAGTGCATTGAAAAGTTCATTAACAGAAGTACAAAGTATTCATTATATCTGACTCCAAAAATGAAAGATTTTTCTTAACTGAAAACTAATGTGCTATTTTTTAAAATGAGCCACTGTTTACAGAGGTGCAAGATATAGATTCTGTGCTCTGGGCATCAGGTGGTAGTAGCAGCTCCAGAGGCTGGGTTGGCAGCAGTAGAAGCAGCTGCCAGTATTATGCCCCCTCTAAGTGAACACCAAGATTGGAGCCCTAGTTACACTACAGACTGTCTAAACAGATATGCACAAAAGTTTTATTCCCCATTTTAAATTTTGATAGCACTGGAAGGATATAAAAAAGATGCAGAAAGCCGGAGCATCTTGCTTGCCTGAACAACATGGAAGACAAAACCAGAACAGATCCAAAAATGAAAGAAGGATGAAGAGGTGAGGAAGACAACTACATTTTTGGCTTTTTGTTATTTCATTTTTATATTCCTGTTAGACAGTAATCACTGATGTCCTACACTGGTGTCTTACTGCTTCCTCATGTTTTCAAGGAATTAGTTATATCACTATAATTCCTCATGTGGACACTTATTCCAGAATTAGAGTGTCCATGCAGGACATTATACCAGTTTAGCAATAATTGCATAATTGTACTGGTTTACTTATGCTGCTGAATTTTACTTTGTAGACAACATTATATGAATATACAAGACTTATGTGCAACCTCAGCTATAAGAAGTCAGAATTCCAAGCATATGGACAAGGGCAGGGCAAACTCCTAAGGGCAATTATGTGGCAGTCACCCATAACAACCCTTCTGTTGGCCTAGAAAAGAAGAACTCTTGTTGGAAATGTATAAAAGATCTGTTTAAAATGAATGCATTGCAAGTAAAAGAATTAGGCATTTGCAATTAAAGGCTTTGCGATTAAAAGAATGTATTGCACCGGTACAGGCTGGGCACTGACTGGCTAAGCAGCAGCTCTACAGAAAAGGACCTGGAGGTTGCAGTGGACCATAAGCTAAACATGAGCCAGCAGTGTGCCCTCGTTGCCAGAAAGCTAACAACTTACTGGGCTGCATTAGTGGGAGCGTTGCCAGCAGATCAAGGAAAGTGATTATTCCCATCTATTCTGCACTGGTGAAGCCACATCTGGAATACCCCCTCCCAGGCCCCCAATACAGAAAGGATGTAGACAAATTGGAGAACGTCCAGCAGAGGGCAATGAAAAAGGTTAGAGGGCTGGGGGACATAACTGAGGAGGAGAGGCTGAGGAAACTGGGCTTATTTAGTCTGGAGAAGAGAAGACTGAGAGGAGAATGGAATAGCAGCCTTCAGCTACTTGAAGGGTGGTTCCAAAGAGGATGGAACTAGATTGTTTGTAGTATTGGCAGATGACAGAACAAGGAGAAATGATCTCAAGTTGCAGTAAGGGAAGTTTAGGTTAGATATTAGGAACTAGATATTAGGAACTTTCACACTAGGAGGGTAGTAAAGCACTGCAACAGGTTACCCTGGGAGGCTGTGGAATCTCCTTCCTTACAGGTTTTTAAGAACAGGCCAGAAAAAGGCTTGGCTGGGATGATATAATTGAGGCTGGTCCTGCTTTTGAGCAGGAGTTTGGACTAGACGACTTCCTGGGGTCCCTGTAAACCCTAATTTTCTACGATTCTATGTGCGTTTTTACACCTGCTCCGGGGGTGGGGAGGTGCTTTAACAAGACTGGCTCTGAGAGCCGCTCTAATTAAAGTGCCTGTAGTGTCTTGCGTATTCATCATCCCATGCTTCAAAATGGCAGTGGGGGCAGTTTAACTAAAGCTTGTTTGATGAGCTTCAATTAAAGTGCCCCTCTTCACCTTTTTGAATTGTGGGGATGCTGAATACATGAGACGCTGGAGCGGGCTAATTAATCAATCAAGTCTGCTCCAATGCACTGTAATTACAGTACATCACAGTGGTGTCTCTGCATGTGTACAGGCACCCTATTATTCTAAGTACTTTGAGGTTAAACTTACTATCTCAATTTTTTTTTATTATTATTGTTAATTACATTATAGGCAATGCCTTAAAAAAGCAACCAGATTTCTGCAGTTAAAGGATTCTGCACTCGCTTGTTGTTATTGGTTGTGGCAAAGCCACTGAGAGCTTTCCAGCATTGTAATATTCTGTTGAGAACATGATGTTCCCAGATGGCTTAGTTGACAAGCATCAATTGACAGATTTTTGCAACTGCTGTGAAAAGACCTTTTTAAAACCATCTCACCCAATGGCAATAAGAAGAGGTTTCACTGGCTGATACAGGACATGAAGACATTCCACCTTCTCAGTCATGGATACTTTGGTTATCCAGACAGCCATCAAAACTGGTGCATTGCAATCTTCTCTTACAGAGCAGGACAAAGAAGATGCCACTAGACAACAAATCCATAAGGCAAGATTCAGAAATTTTCTATGCCTGTACCATAGCTTTAAAACCACTTGTGGATTTTCAGACAGCACTACATGATATTCAGCTGGGAAAATCAATTGTGCACAAATAAACTGCTGTTAATGATAGAAATGAAAACAAACAAATGATGCAGAACAGTTGCTGCAAAGGTATCTACATGGAGCCTGTCCCTAAATAGTTTTAATTACTGTAGCTGCAACCAAACCATTTTGCAAAATATATTTCAGGTGGAAGATACATTTCTGAAGTCAGACCAGACTTTCGGGGTTGTTTTTTTTATTTTTATGTTTTTATTTTTTTATTGGAAGTGTTGCATCATTTTGTTGTCACAGTTCTTTCTTTCTTTTTAGACTGAGGGCAGGGCTTGCAGGCCAAAGCCCTAGGCTCTGTGTGTTGTACCTGGGCCTGTGTGTGGGCAGTATTTTATTACTTCGTTGGGTTGTTACCCCCTTTTCCCCTTAATAAACCTTCATAAAAGTCTTTCTTTCTTTCTTATTCTATTTTTAGAAACTTCCTATTTCTGCATACTACACAGAGAAGTCAACATTTTCTTATAGAAAATGCCATTACACAATGAATCAAACATATCCCTGGAGTATCAACTCTTCTTAATGGATCACAGGCAAGTTACTAACTACACACAGAAAAGCCAATGCAATATATTATTAGCTCGTTAAGTGACAACCAAAGATGAGTGAATTCACCTGTTAGTTTCAGATGGGGATAACATTTCTGGGGGTGAGTGTGAGGGGCTTTTGTCCAATAGTTCAGTGATGGAAGCACTCACCCAGGATGTCAGAGACCAAGGTTCAGTTTTGTCTTCTACCTGAAAGGATCTGAAGCCCATATCTCCAACTACCCAAAACATTTGCCTATAGGCTATTATGGGTGGGGAAAGCATTCTTACTCAATTAAAGTATTTGGCAAGATTTAAAAAAATGAATGAGTTTTATCAGAACCAATTTTTTGCTCAATTTTTTGGTTTGGCAGCTGAATTATTCACACAACACTAGTGACAGCACATTACCATCCCATGCTGGAAAAGCCATGACTTGTTACTTATACTGATTTAATCTGACATTTGAATACCACAAATGACACCAGGGTTGTCTTCCAAATAAACCCATCACAGGATGGATTCCCGGTGACAGCTTTATGATCAGTGAACTAGCAAAGAGTATCTCATCTTATTCACCACAAACAAACTCCTTCACCCAAGTTTTCTTCACTCCTGGCCTGACAAGACCAGAACTAACGCTGGACCTGAACCATATCCCCAAACCTCTTGAATGAGGAGAAGTTTCAAATGCAGATCCAAACTTTGAAGTTGGTCCTGGTCTTCATAAAAGACCAAATTAGAAACTCACCTTCCAATGACCCCATACTATGGGAAAGTTTGGATTTGAATTTCATTGCTCAGGCATCTAACAGACAGTTGACCCAAATGGACATTGAGATCCATTACATGGAAGGGACTTCACCATTGATGAGACTCCCCCAGGGAGGAAGTTTTCACCGCAGCCACATTGTTGAGGGGAACAGCTGTTTAGTCAAGCTAAGAGAGGGAGGGCTCTCCACTGCTTCTGCATAAGAGGGGGAGGTACACTACCCTGTGCTCCCTTTATTTTAAAACCCAGACCTAGATCAGGAGACTGCAACCACAAATAACTGAGATTTATCACCTGCATGTCTTTGTGTCACAGATTTGAGAGGATGACACACTTTATTGCTCATGTAGGCTGAGTGGTATGTTACCCAACTTCTCACATGCAAAAGGAGTCATAGATTCATAGATTAAGGGTCGGAAGGGACCTAGTAGATCTTCTAGCCCGACCCCCCGCCAGGGCGGGAGAACAACAAAAAACCCCAAAAAGAGAAACGGGACTCAAACGAGTCCAGCCAGGTAGGCATCCAGCCTCTTCTTAAAGACCCCCAGGGTAGGGGCCAGCACCACTTCCCTTGGAAGTTGGTTCCAGCTCCTAGCCGCCCTAAC